TCTCTCACGATGATTCCAAACGAAGCATGCGACCATCATGATAACCATGGGGGATTATTGTTCTATAGCGGGGTCCGTTGTTCCCATTCCTAGATCTCCCGCCCAATGAGGTCATGCAAACACCTCCGAGGAATTTCAACATATCCCGCCACGAAAACGCATGCCCGCGCCTTGCTGGGCCGATGCGAGACCGCCAGTGGAGCCCCAGCCAAGGGTAAGGGGATGTCGGCGGCGGGGCAAGGACCTGGCCCTGAATAGAAAGGGAGGAAGTCTCGAACAGGGCCGCTGTCGTTGCTGGGGGCGGCGCCACTGATGAAGAGAGTGGGGCGCCAGTCCAGCGTAAAACGAAACGAAGTCTTGAGCGGGAACGCTGGTTTGTTGGGGCGGCGGTTGTCGGCGGCGTCGCGTTCTCGCTTGGGACTTCTTCGCAACTTACCACCGAACCGCTTCGCTTGATATTTCCGCACAATTTATTCAGATGCCGGTCCTCGACACTCAGGAATCGCGCTCCCGCTACATATTGCCTGGCGGTTCAAGCAGGACTCACGCTCCAACGACCCGCCCGCTCGACCCGCCCGTCGGGGCCTGCCCGCCCGACCAGCCCGTTAACGACTGCAGTCGCCGCTCGCTGCCCTTCGCCCGCCTTCGATGCCCTTCGTGGCCCCGTTGCTGCCCTCAGTGGCTCCGTCGTTGTCCTTTGTGGTCCCGCATTATATGCCCTTCGTGGCCCCCGCTCGCACGCGCCCGTCGTGGCCCCATACGCATGCCCTTCGTGGCCCCGCTGTCGCCCTTCGTGGCCCCCTCGCTGCCCTTCGTGGCCCCTTTGCTGCCCTCAGTGGCCCCGCTGTCGCCCTTTGTGGCCCCGTATGCGAATCCCCTTCGTGGCCCCCGCTCGCTCGCGCCCGTCGTGGCCCCATATGCATGCCCTTCGTGGCCCCGCTATCGCCTTTGTGGCCCCCTCGCTGCCCTTCGTGGCCCCCTTGCTACCCTCAGCGGCCCCGTCGCTGCCCTCTGCGGCCTCGGATTTTATGCCCTTCGTGGCCCACGGTGGCTTTTCTCACGATTTACTTAGGCATCGCGCTATCGCTCGAGACTTCCTCGCGATTCATGCAGGACCCACGCTTCAGCAACCCGCCTGTTCGATCTCGCCGCCTGGACCCGCCTTCCTGACCTGCCCGCTATGGGTCTGTCCACCCGATCTGCCCGTCTGGTTCTACCATTTGTTTTCTGCTCTTTGCCCCCCTCCTGCTAATTTCTCACGTGCTCCATTGTTCACCCTCCCCTTTCCACCCGTCCTCTTTTCCTCTGTTCTAGGGGCTGCACGAAATACGTGGCAGGTAAGGAAAATATACCCCCGAGGGGGGACGATCGAAGACGACGAGGGCGGGTACTGAGGGTTTGGGATATACGTATTGATTACCACGTGAGCAGATAGGGACGAACAGTCTTAACATGATTATTATTATTATTATTATTGTTGTTGTTGTTGTTGTTGCATTTTTACCATTGAAGACTAATTAGTGACTTATTAGTGTTGACCCCCCCCTCCGGTGCACATTGTATGTTTCAATTGAAGTGCCCCTGCACCCGGTTTTTTATACGGAAAAGCTTCGTCCTCAAACTGTGTTGTTGGCCCCAGGGTTACAACAGCAACGGCTCCCGCCTGATAATTCCTCACAATTTAGCCAGGACCCCGCTCCCGCCTGAGACTTCCTCACATTTTAGTCAGGAGTCGCGCTCTCGCTTAGGACTTCCTTACAATTTATTTAGGAATCGCTTTTTCGGCGCTCTGGAGTCGCGCTCTCGCTGGAGACTTGCTGCCCAAGAATAGCGCCCTTGCGTGCATGCCCTTCGTGGCCCCGCTGTCGCCCTTCGCGGCCCCCTCGCTGCCCTTCGTGGTCCCGTTGCTGCCCTCAGTGGCCCCGCCCCCGCTCGTTCGCGCCCGTTGTGGCCCCATGTGCATGCCGTTCGGCTGTCGCCCTTCGTGACCCCCTCGCTGCCCGTCGTGGCCCCTTTGCTACCCTCAGTGGCCCCGTCGTTGCCTTCTGTGGCCCCCCATTATCTGCCTTTCGTGGCCCCCGCTCGTTCGCGCCCGTCGTGGCCCCATACGCATTCCCTTCGTGGCCCCGCTATCGCCTTTTGTGGCTCTCTCGCTGTCCTATGTGGCCCAGTTGCTACCCTCAGTGGCCCCGTCGTTGCCTTCTGTGGCCCCGCATTATCTGCCCTTCGTGGCCCCCGCTTTTTCGCGCTCTTCATGGTCCCATACGCATTCCCTTCGTGTCCCCGCTGTCGCCCTTCGTGGCCTACTTCGTGCCCTTCGTGGCCCTGCTGTCGTTCTCTCTCTCGCTCTCGCTTTCGCTCGTCGTCGTCGTCGCCGTCGCCGTCGTCGTCGACGTCGTGGTCGTCGTCATAGTCGTCGTCGTGGTCGGTCCCCTGTCCGTCCCTCTTGGGGTCGGGTTGCCGCCGCTCAGCGCTGCCGCTGGCCAGGCCGACGGTCCGCAGCCGCCCCGCCGCTTGCTGGGGCCCGGCCTGCAGGGAAGAAAGGTATACCCCCCATAAGGGGTACGATCGAAGACGAAGAGGGCGGTTATCGAGGGTTTGGGAAACACGCGTTAGCGGACCCTCGAACAGATAGAGCGAACAGTCTGAACATGATTGTTGTTGCTGATGTTGTTGCTGATGTTGTTGTCGTTGTTGTTGTTGTTGAACATTATTTATTCTAAAGAATAATTATTGTTGGGCCCCCTGGTGCGCGCCCCCCCTGCGCCGCCTAGGCCGCAGCTACATTTTCATCATTTTCGTGAGGAAGCCTCAGAAAAGAGGGTGTGTACAGGATCCGGTTGTTTTGTTGTAATCCGCTTTCCCTTGCAAAAAACAATAGAAAATGACATTTCTTGTTCTAATATAATCAAATTTCAAGAATCCCTTGCAAAAAATAAGGTAAAGTGGACATTCGCGCGCGCAAGACGAAATCCTTCCAAAACCTTAGTGTTCGCAGCGATTTTAACATAAAAACATCAAAAAACCAATGGTTTTTCAACAAAAAATTGTCAAAATCTCATCCCGCGCGCTCTTGCGGATTCGTAGGAAACCCAACACTTTTTAAACATTTCTGTCAAACGGGCTTTTGCGAGCAACTTTTTCGAACTTCTGCGACAACGGTTGCGCACCTGCCAGGGCCATCATCCCTGTCAAATAATACCATGCGGGACACATTCGTTTTTTCTTCGCGCGCGCACGCCGTCGTCGTCGGCCGCGGGGCCCTGAATAGTAGCCACGGTCGTCCGCATGCCACGAAGTGAAGTGTCCGAACGTCATAGGGCGGGAAGCTGGGTGTGGGTGGTGGCGAAGAGTCGTTTGGAAATTTGGTAGAGCTTGAACCGGCCCCCCCACAAAGTGGGGGTATTGCCCGCCTCCTATGAAAACCCTGCTGGTGAGAACGGAGTGTCCCCACGTGCTAGTAATTGTTGTTGTTGTTGTTGTTGTTGTTGTTGTTGTTGTTGTTGTTGTTGTTGTCGTCGTCGTCGTCGTCGTCGTCGTTGTTGTTGTAGTTGCTGTTGTTGTTTTTGGTGTTGTTGTTGTTGGTGTTGTTGTGGTTGTTGTTGTTGTTGTTGTTGTTATTGTTGTTGTTGTTGTTGTTGTTGTTGTTGTTGGTTGTGTTTTTGTTGGTGTTGTTGTTGTTGTTGTTGTGGTTGTGGTTGTGGTTGTGGTTGTGGTTGTGGTTCTGGTTATGGTTGTGGTTGTGGTTGTGGTTGTTGTTGTTGTTGTTGTTGTTGTTGTTGTTGTTGTCGTTGTCGTTGTTGTTGCTGCTGCTGCTGCTGCTGTTTTTTGTTATTCTGACACAAGATATGCGCGAAATGGCTTCGCATATGGTTTGTTACCATCCGATGGTTTACAATGCTGCACAAGTTTTTCTCTCGCTGCAGCCTGAGCCTCATGTTCAGATCGGCGCTGTTCTCCCGCTGTTCGGCATGGCGCCCCCGCCCAGGCGTGGGCCACTTTTCTGGATCCCGCAGGTCTCGCGGGTCTCGCAGGCCCCACAGGCCCCACAGGACCTACAATTGTGGCGGGTCGTCCGGCAGGCCCCCGCAGGTCGCACCCGTCTGACAGGCTCCGCAGGCCCCACAAGTTCCGCAGGTCTCGCAGGTCTCGCGTGCCCCGCAGGTCCAGCAGGTCCGGCGGGTCCTGGAGGTCGCGCGTGTGCCGCAGGTCCCGCCCGTGCCACGTAACCGACGCGCTTGCCACGGGAGGGTCGTATGACGCATGCAGACACTACCGCACACGGTTCCACGCGATCCCTCACCCCACCACTGCCCCTCCTCTTCCTCTTCCTCTCCCTCCTCCTCCCCCTCCTCCTCCTCCTCCTCCTCCCCTTCCCTCCCTCCCCCCGTCCCCTCCTCCTCCTCCCCCTCCCTCCCCCAGTCTTCTCCTCCTCACCTCCTCCTTCTCGTCCTCCTCCACCTCCTCCTCCTCCTCCTCCTCCTCCTCCTCCTCCTCCTCCTCCTCCTCCTCCCCCCCCCTTCCTCCTCCTCCTCCTCCTCCTCCTCCTCCTCCTCCTCCTCTCCTCCTCCTCCTCCTCCTCCTCCTCCCTCCTCTCCTCCTCCTCCTCCTCCTCCTCCTCCTCCTCCTCCTCCTCCTCCTCCTCCTCACTCCTCCTCCTCCTCCTCCTCCTCCTCCTCCTCCCTCCTCCTCCTCCTCCTCCTCCTCTCCTCCTCCTCCTCCTCCCCCTCCTCCTCCTCCTCCTCCTCCTCCTCCTCCTCCTCCTCCTCCTCCTCCTCCTCCTCCTCCTCCTCCTCCTCCTCCTCCTCCTCCTCCCTCTCTCCTCCTCCTCCTCCTCCTCCTCTCCTCCTCCTCCTCCTCCTCCTCCTCCCCCTCCTCCCCTCCTCCTCCTCCCTCCTCCTCCTCCTCCTCCTCCTCCTCCTCCTCCTCCTCCTCCTCCTCCTCCTCCTCCTCCTCCCCTTCCTCCTCCTCCTCATCCTCCTCCCCGATCCCCCGGCGAGGGGCCCGTGGGCATCGTCCAGGCCGCCCGGCACAAGTACGGCTGCCGCATCGTCCAGCGGCTCTTGGAGCACGGCGGCGGGGCCCAGGCCGACCGCGTGGCGGAGGCGCCCGCCACCCGCCGCCGGGCGCTGACCGTCGTCGTCGTCGTCGTCGTCGTCGTCGTCGTCGTCGTCGTCGTCGTCGTCGCCGTCGTCGGTCGTCGGTGTCGTCGTCGTCGTCGTCGTCGTCGTCGTCGTCGTTGTTCGTCGTCTTTCGTCGTCCTCGTCGTCGTCTTCGTCCTCGTCCTCGTCGTCGTCGTCGTCGTCGTCGTGGTCTGTCGTCGTTCGTCGTCGTCGTCGTTCGTCGTCGTTCGTCGTCGTTCGTCATCGTCGTCGTCCTCGTCGTCGTCGTCCTCGTTCGTCGCCTGTCCTGGCGTCGTCCGTCGTCGCCGTCTTCCGCCCCCCGTCGTCGTCGTCGTCGTCGTCGTCGTCGTCGTCGTCGTCGTCGTCGTCGTCGTCGTCGTCGTCGTCGTCGTCGTCGTGGTCTGTCGTCGTTGGCCGCGTGGCGGAGGCGCTCTGTGCGGACGCGCTCGAGAACTGCCTCCACCCTTACGGCAACTACGCGATCCAGAAGGCCCTCGCTCCTGGGCGAAGGGGAGGAGGTCAGCCACGCGCGGAGGCTGGGCTCATTTCGAGTCCTCCGATTCGATTCGATTCGATTTCGATGGCCTCCGATTCTGATTCGTTTCGACTTCGGACTTCGATTTCTCAATGGAGGCCTACTAGCCTGCCGATTTCTGCCGAGTCGACTTCTCCCGACGTGGCTGCCGATTTCCGCCGATCCGATTCATTTCGATCGCCGATCCAATTTGTCGACTCGATTCTGGGCTCTCCTGCAGAGGGGGGTAGGGGGGGAGGGAGGAGGATTCCCAAGATGCACACCTGCTTCTTAGAAAACGTGGGCCTTCTCTGCAGATGCAGGGCCGGCGCCTTCGTTAAGAGACAGCCTCCTTTGAAGACGCCTTCCCCTCTCCCCCTACCCCCATTGCGCGCGCAGCCGAGAGGGGGGCCAGACGGGGCTAGGACGAGGATCAATTCGTTCCAGAGCGTTCCAGAACGCTCTCAGGTGCAATCTATGTTTTGCGATATATGTGGTGCGCAATCTGTGTGGGGCGATGTATGTGGCGAAACGTAGGCTGTGCAGTCTTCGTTGTGCGTAATATGTTGTGCAATCTATGTAGGGCGGCCACGGCGGCAACATGGCCGCCAGACCGAAGATGCGGCACAGACGACGGGCGGCGACGACGAGGCGGCGACGACGAGGCGGCGACGACGAGGCGGCGACGGGGCAGCAACAGCGGCCACATAGCCGCCAGACCGAAAACACGGCCCAGACGACGGGCGGCGACGAGGTGGCGACGGGGCGGCGACGGCGGTCACATGGCCGCCAGACCGAAACCACGGCCTTGTTCCTTAGAACAGCAGCCAGAATCCCTAAGTGGGAATCTATGGAAAGAGGAGGGGGAGACGACAGGAGGGGCGGGGCGGGGGGGGGGGATCGGGGAGGGGGACAGCTGGTGGGGGTGAGGCGAAAGGGGATGGAGGCAGAAGGGAAGGAACTCTAGGGATTCTGCCGTCACGCAGGGATGTGAATAGCGCGCCACCCCCCGAACCCGATGAGCACCGCGGCGAAGGAGCACAGGAGGTCCACCCGTGGAGCCAACCAAGAAGTTTGTGGAGCACGACGATAGTGAACGTGATACCGCCAGCTGAGTCCCCCGACCATTAAGATGCTCACTCCTCCTAAGCCAAGCAACCAAGAGCGGACACTCACTGATTTGTGTGCGAAGCGCGCCACGCCTGACGGAACGAGGAGAATGAGGCCCACGCAGAAAGCCTGGGCATCTGTGGAAGCCGCGTCGCCACATCCACATCGCAGAAAGCACCTCCCGATCCACCAACGAGCACGAAGCCCACACAGCGGTGAGTACTAGCATGACACTCTGCACGGCACTGTGACAGAACATTGAGCCATGTCCAAGCACACAGTAACCATGTAGTTGAACTCCGCACCAGCACGAAACACAGCTTGCCAACATTATATCCAAGCAGCACTTGGCACTCCAGGTCTTCTCCCTGGCACGGTATAATCGAAACCTGCGGGCCACTGGGAAATGGGAACGGAGCATCACCAAGAAATTGAGTGCCAGGGATGCAAAGGAATCCATGATTGAAGACAGCTCCAGCGATTGCATTCAAGGGTTTGAAGTACATACCCAGCTGCTGTGAGGGCAACAGAAGCCTCAGCACATACAATCTGGGAATCCCAGGCCCCTTCCCCAGCACGGTATATGAGACATTCATGAGCCACGGACGGGAACGAACACAAGGAGCATGACCACGATATTTGCCATAGCAAGCTCTGTTTTCGGAAAAGATCCCCGGCAATGATATGCCAAGTTCTGCCAATGCAGCTGCAGCAGGCCGAACTCGCACTCGCCCACACTGGCACTGCTTCGCCGACGCGGAGGAGCTGCACGAATGCGTGCGGCAGCCACGGCGCCCCCCGAGCCCGCCACGAGAATGCGCGGGACCTTGATTCGCGGAAGCCCACCTCCCGCTTGGAGCCTCCATCACAGCGGCAGGAGGAGGAGGAGGAGGAGGAGGAGGAGGAGGAGGAGGAGGAGGAGGAGGAGGAGGAGCGGACAAACCACGAGCCCGTGCTTGAGCCAAAGTAGTTGCGGAGACAGAAGGGAAGGCAGGCGGGAGGGAGGAAGGAAGGGACCCAGAGATACGACGCTCCTAACAAAAGATTGGAGCGGGCGGTTCTTGGCTGGTTGCGGTCTCCGGGGGCCCTCGCTGGGTCTCCGGGACCGTCAAAAAAAGGCTCAGGATGAAAGCCTGGCCCTGGGGAAGTTGTCTAGACCTCCAGGGCCAACGCTGCGACAAGATTGGAGCAGCCAGATGTCTGGGGAGGGAGGAGGAGAACCTTGAGGTCAAAGTCGAGCTAAAGCCGTCGCCGTCGTCGTCGTCGTCGTCGTCGACCCTGCGCGAACCCAGAAGGTCCTGCAGCACAGCGATCCGGCCCGGCGCCGCGCCCTGGTGGGGCTGCTGCGGGAGCACGTGGCCGCGCTCGGCGAGGACGCCTACGGGTCCTCGGTGCCGCCGACGCCGCCTGTCATCGTCTCTCGTCCGCCGTCGTCTTCGTCGCCGTCGTGGTTTTTCGTCGTCATCGTCGTGGGTTTTCGTCGTCGTCGTCGTCGTCGGCTGCCATCGTCGTCGTCGTCGTCGTCGTCGTCGTCGTCGTCGTCGTCGGCTGCCATCGTCGTCGTCGTCGTCGTCGTCGTCGTCGTCTTCTGCGGCTGTCGTCGTCGTCGTCGTCGTCGTCGTCCGCGGCCGTCGTGAGTGTCGTCGTTGTCGTCGACCAGTGGTCGTCACCGCGGTCGTCACCGCGGTCGTCGTCTCGCCGCTCCAGTTGGCTTCGGGTCCCCCTTGAATTTTAAAGACCAAGCTACGGACATCCTAGCTACTCTTGAATTTGTTTGCCCTGATAATCAAACGAGTAGTAGTAATAATGTTAGTAAAGCTAGTTGTGATCGTTCATGGGATTGTTGATACTTCTACGAATCTTAATTCAAGTACTGATAACAATTAGGCTGGCTAGGCGCACAGCCCCCTGTAGCTGTATTCCGTGCAGGGCGCGGCCTTCTCATTCCCAGCGGTGTCTTACGTAGCACCCCGCAGATGCGGATAAGAGTGAGGGGGCGGTGGGGACGTCGGCAGTCTGCGAGACTCTGGAGAAGCCCGCAGCAGGCGCCAAAGTTTCGCAAATTATACAACGAGCCCGCCGCAGGCTCCGATTTTTTCTTCAAACCAATATGGATCGTTCGCGGGTGGGTCGCCGGTGGGTCGCGGGTGGGTCGCAGGTTGGGTCGCAGGTGGGTCGCGGGTGGGTCGCGGGATGGTCGCGGATGGGCCGCGGGGTGGGCCACGGGTGGGTCGCGGGGTGGGTCGCGGGTGGGTCGCGAATGGGTCGCGGGTGTGTCGCGGGGTGGGTCGCGGGTGGGTCGCGGGTTGGGTCGCGGGTGGGTCGCGGGGTGGGTCGCGGGGTGGGTCGCGTGTGGGTCGTGGGGGGGGGGACGACGACAACAAACAAACAAAAACAACAACAACAACAACAACAACAACAACAACAACAACAACAACAACAACAACAACAACAATCACACCAACAACAACAACACCAACAACAACAACAACACCAGCAACAACATCAACAACAACATCAACAACAACAGCAACAGCAACAATAACAACACCAACAACAACAATAACACCATCATCAACAACAACACCACCACCAACAACAACACCAACAACAGCAGCAACACCAACAACAACAGAAACAACACCACCAACAACAACAACACCAACAACACCAACAACAACAACGCCAACACCAACAACAATAACAGCAACAGCAACAATAACAACAGCATTACAATAACAACAACAACACCAACATCAGCAGCAACAACAACAACATCACCAACAACAGCAACCGACAACAACAACAACACTAATCTTAAGACTGTTCGCCCTTATATGCTCGAGTGCCCAATCACGCGTATTTCCCAAACCCTCGATACCCGCCCTCTTCGTCTTCGATCGAACCCCTTTTGGGGGGTATACCTTTCTTCCCTGCAGGCTGGGTCCCGGCAAGCGGCGGGGCGGCCGCGGACCGTCGGCCTGGCCAGCGGCAGCGCTGATCGGCGGGGCGGCCGCGGACCGTCGACCCGACCCCAAGAGGGACGGACAGGGGACCGACCACGACGACGACGACGACGACGACGTCGAAGACGACGGCGACGACGACAACGACGACGGCGACGACGAGCGAAAGCGAGAGCGAAAGAGAACGACAGCAGGGCCACGAAGGGCACGAAGTATGCCACGAAGGGCGACAGCGGGGACACGAAGGGAATGTGTATGGGGCCACGAAAAGCGCGAACGAGCGGGGGCCACCAAGTGCAGATAATGCGGGGCTTTTTGATTGAGAAAGAACAATATGCACCGGTGGGGGGATCAACAATAATTATTCTTCAGAAATGAGAAATCAACAACAACACCAACAACAACACCAACAACAACAAACAACAACAACGACAACAGCAACGACAACAACGACACCAACAACGACACCACCAACAACAACAGCAGCAACAACAACAACGACAACAGCAACAACGACAACATCAACAACAACGACAACATCAACAACAACAACAACACCAACAACCACAGCAACCACATCAACAACAACAAGAACAACACGAACAACACAATATCAATAACAGTAACAACAACAGTAACAGCAACAACACCAATAACAACAGCAACAACAACGCAACATGCATAATCCCCACCACGGATTTTCACTTCAGCCACGCACACAGGGACAATGAATGACCGTTCGGCCCCCTCACTCTGATGTTTTCCTCTTGCGGACCACGCAGATCTCTCCTTTGGCGCCGACGCGCGCGGGCGCGCGCGTGGAGTGCCCTGTGAGGAATTGACCACGTCGGCCGGCCAATCAGAGCGAGCCCTCTGCGTGCAGCGACGCGGCGGGCCCCCCCCCCCGCCCCCCAAGAAACCGTCATTCCGGAGGAAAAAAACACACACACACACATAGACACAATTCATCGTCGTTTCCCCAGAAAAGACAAGAAAATATGGGAAGTGGGGGGGAATGACAAAAGCCCAGAACATATGGGAAACTATGGGCATCCCGTCACTTGTGTCACTATGCCACTGCACGGCGTGTGCTGCGTCCGCCGCCCCCGTGCTGCGGCGCGCGCCGCGTCGGCCGGGCCTCTCCGCCCACCCGGCGCCGAACCTGCGCCCCCGGGCGCGCCGGGGGCGGGGCCCCCCCGGGGAGCGCCCGTGCGGCCGAGGAGGGCCCCGCGGGTCTTCGCGGCTCCACCCCGGGGAGCACCCTTTGCGACAGGAACAAGGCTGAAGTCGGGCCTGTGCCTCTACAGGAGGAATACTCAAGAATAGTTAAAAAACAGTCTGGGGAGGATTCTTTTACTGTTTTTGTCCATTTGGGGGTATCTTTGGGGGTATTTTTCATTTTTCGCCCAAAATCCCCCTGTAGGGGGACAAGCCCGACCTAAGTCAAGGGTGGAAAAACCACCCCGACCCCGACAATTCGCGTCTACTGCGCAGCCCTGGGCGTTTACTGAGCAGCCCTGCCCTGTTCGATCCCTTCCATGGGTGCGTTTACTACACGGCTTCGCTTGTCGGGGTGCTTATTATGGGCGTGGATTTTCTGTTCTCTAGACAGGGGGGCCCAGGATGGCGGCGGAACGCCCGCGACGTGTCGAGAGGGCCCCGGGACAGTTCCCAGGCCGTCCACCGCGGAAGCGCGGCATCACCCCGGGGCATTCCCGAAGGCCCCGCAGCTCGCCCCGAAACAGCCCCCGACGGGGTCCATGGAGCCTCTGCCGTCGAGCGCGTCGGCAGGCTCAGCAGCAGCCGGCGGCTCGCGGCCGGCCGGTAGGGGCACCCAGCAGCGCGCGGCATGGCCACCGGACGCGCTCCGCCCAGCAGCTTCGCTGGAGCACCCCCCCTCGGGGGTGTGCAGTCGAGGCCCCGCACCTCTGCCAGACTTCTGGGGCGGGAACTTACCCATATCCACTGCCCGGAGGGTCAGTTTTGGGAGCCTCGGCTGGCGGTGGATATGGACATATTCGGGCCCCCGGGGGCCGAAAAATATATCCATATCCACCGCCCGCTGGGGCACCAGGACGTCGGTTCCCAGGCGGTGGATGTTTTATAAATCCCCGCCTCGCAAGACTTCCCGCGTTTGCCGTCGCGCGCAGCTCCAGCGCGTGGGGCGCGGATCTGGGCGAGCCCGGAGGTCTGGCATGCCCGGGCCGGACAGGCCGGCGCCTGTCGGCCGCTCACCACGCGCCGAGTCGCATTTTCTGGCGCCCCGCCCGCTTCGTTTTAGGTCGGGCCTGTCCCCCTACAGCGGGGATTTTGGACGAAAGCTAAAAGGTATTCGAAATATATGCCTCAAAAATACTCAAAGAATAGTCCCCAGAGTATTTTTTTGACTATTTTTAAGTATTTCCCCTGTAGAGGGACAGGCCCGACTTAAGCCTTGTTCCTGTCCCTGCCTGCCAGAGCCCGCGCGCGAAAACAAGTGGGAAGAGGAGGAGGAGGCCGAGGAGGAGTCACCGAGCGCATTGCACTACCGTCTGAACAACATATGCTTGCTTCGGCGACATGTATCGTAGATCCTCCGCGGCGAATCCAGGCCATTTGCGAGTAGTGACTTTGCGAGTAGTGGAGCGCGCTCCTCTAAGGAGGGTTGAAGAGGAAGGGAGAGGGGGAGAATGAGCGATCAGCGACGAAGGACGTCCCGTCGGGCCCCCGAGGTGCTCACGAAGGCGCTCGCCTGCGGCGCCAGGGACGAGCAGCTGCTGCTGGTGCGGGCGATGCTGGCGACCCCGGGGCTGCTGGCGCAAATGCCGCGGCGTCGCGGCGGGAACATCTCGGCCAGGCCGCCGCCGCCGCACTCGGCGGCCCTCGGTGGCGGCGTCGGCGTCGACGTCGTCGTCGTCGTCCTCGTCGTCCTCGTCGTCGTCCTCGTCGTCGGCCTCGTCGTCGTCGTCGTGGTCGTGGTCGTGGTCGTGGTCGTGGTCGTGGTCGTGGTCGTGGTCGCCGTCGTCGTCGTCGTCGTCGTCGTCGTCGTCGTCGTCGTCGTTGTTTTTGTCGTCGTCGTTTTCGTCGTCGTTTTCGTTGTCGTGTTTTCGTCTCTCCTCCTCCTACTCCCACTCCTACTCTTCCTGCTCCTCCTCCTCCTTTCATTCCCCTCCCTTCCCGCCTCTTGTTCATCATCGTCCAACATTGTCTGTCTTGTTGTCGTGGTCTGTCAGCGCGCTGTCGTTCGTCGTCGTCTATGCCGTCGTCTTCGGCGTTGTTGCCGTCGCCGTCCGCAGTCGCCGTCGCCGTTGCCGTCGACGTCGCCGTTGTCGTCGCCGTCGCCGTCGCCGTCGCCGTCATCGTCGCCGTCGTCGTGATGTCTGTCGTCGTGATGTCTGTCGTCGTCGTCGTCGCCGTCGCCGTCGCCGCCCCCGTCGCCGCCGTCGGCGTCGGCGTCGGCATCGTCGTGGTTGTCGGGTCGGTCGGTCACCGCCGTCGTTGTTGTCGTCGTCGTCGCCCTCGTTGTCGTCCC